GTGAGGCGGCCCCGGCCGCGCCCTGCCCGGGGAGAGCCGGGGGAGGCTCCGCGGCCGGGAGGCGGCCCCGGGAGGCGACCGGGGAGTCGCCATCTGGGCTGAAGGGAGCAGGTTGAGGGCAGCCGGCGAGCAGGGCTTCCCCGGCGAGGGCGGGCGGGCGGCGGGTTGCCCTCCGGCTGGAGGGGGCTGCGCCAAAACCTGCCGGAGCTTTTCCCCTTGGAAGTTTTGCCCTGGATTTCCCAGCACAAGTGCCGCAGCGAGGGGGTTTTTTGGTTGTTTTTTTTTTCCTTCCTTCTTGTCACATGTTTTAACGTCAGTGCAGAAACGCTAATCTTTCTGGAACTGTATAAAGTCGTTGCTCTAGCGGCAAAATTAAAAGCAGAGCTTTAAAATGCTGCGGTAGGCGTCTGTGTGGATCAACGTGCATCTCCCATCTCAGGCTTTCACCCTGTGATCTGCAGTTTGTCGTTTTGTAATGTTCATGTAGATTCTGTTAAGGCTTTGGGGGGGGCTTTATCACGAGATCTCTGTTTATATTTTTCTAGTGCTACTGTTGCCTTTTTTTATATTGTTTTGTATATTAAACGTTTGCTGTTGCTTAAACTGCTACTGCATTTCTTTTTTTTTTTTCTGTTTAAATACTAATGACGTTCTTGGAGTCTTTGAGATAACCAGATGCTCTGTGTCACAGTCGGAACACCTGCACTGCATAGGAACTGTAGAGACCTTGTTTGACAGCTGAAGGCTTGAACGCTTCTCAACCTGCAGGAAAAAACACTGTCTGTCACCTCAATAATCAATAAAATGCTTGGCTTAAAAACCCACGTTGCTTGCATCACACTGTTAATGTTGCCAAGAACAGGTTCTGGGGAGGGGGGGGTGGCAAGAAACTTGAATTTGTTCTCACTCGTGTTCCAGTAATTCAGTCTTAGAGAATAATTTTTTAAAATTCATTACTTATTGTGGATTTTTTAAAGTTTCTATGACTGATGTTTACATGGCAGAGCTGTGAGCGTGAATGCACATTGGTACCTGACTTTGTTCTCGTATGCCTCTGGAAAACAGATAAAGGAGGATTAGATTGGGCTTGAAATTAAAACAGAACTGAAAAGCAGGGAATATAAGATGAGGAGGGGAAGTGTAAGGGGGAAAATGTTTTGCGGGTGTTGTGCCTGTCTTGCAGGGATCAGAAAGGCGTTGCAGGCAGAGCAGTTGGGATCATTAAACTGGAAGTCAGCACAGTGTAAAGCCTGGAGTATTTTGTCTGATCTCTGGGGTGCTGGTACCTGCCAAAAGCCCTAAGCCTGGTGATAGCAAGAAGAGATCAGCTGTAGTTTTGAATTGGCACGGCTGCTCCAGAAAATCTGAAGAATTGCTTAAATGGAGAGTTTACTCATAAGCCATATGGTTGTTTGCATTAACTATTATGGTGAAAAAAATCCCAGCCTTAATTTTTGTGCTTGTAATAAATGAAACAATAAGGATTAGACTGAAGGACTGCCATTGTGTTTCTTGGTTTTGTGAAATTAGAAGAAATCCTGAAGATAGCAGAACAGTATCTAAAGTGAATTTTGCTCACGTTAATACTGAGAATGAAACCCATAGTTCACAGGAGCAGGAATAGTGTGTGTAAACTTTGCCAGAAGCGTTGGGTAACTTGAGTTGTTGTTCTAGGAACGTGATGGGTGTTTGTTCTCCATGTTTGTTGAATTTTTTTTAATTTGTTTGTTGGCATCCGATGGTAGGGTCAAGGGCAACTTTAGTAGGTTTTATTGTGAAAGAGATGTCAATAAGCTGGATTTCTCTAATAAATGTTAGCAAGAGGACGTGAGCTAGCAACTCTCTGACCTGGAAACGAACTTTTGGACTCCATAATTGCTTGTGGTGCTAGTAGGTGGAAACCAGGAGTTAAAATCCTCTGTAGATCATGCACCAAAATAAACCATCCTCTAAACTTTTAAAGTGGTTAGAAGTTATTGACAGTTTCTTTTTTTTTCTTTGGTTAGTGTTTTCACTTCTGTAATACTTAAAAGCACACTCCTTGGCCTGGTCTGCTTTTTGCAGATCTCTGGGTGTTGTTTTTTTTCCCCTTCTGATTCCTTGAATTTCACACATCACTCAGCGTATCAGCATTCAGTCTGTAGATTCCAGGCTCTTCCTCACTAACTTGCAGCTGTTATTTTATGTGCACATTTTTAAAAATAAAAATGTTAAGGTATAGTCTAAAGCTCGTTAGAAGCTTGCCCATTAAATTCTATTTGTATTCATTCCAGCTGTCTGCTTGGTTTGCACTTCTTTTGCCATGTAGAGCCACAACTATAGGGAAGTATTATCTTGCATAAGGGATCAAGTTGAAAATTCAGGGGAGAAAATTCCTCTTCAAAATTGAACTGCATTCTTTAATGGTGACTAGTTCTGATGTTGAAGTGCTTGAGTTTTCTTTAGTAATATTTGCATGCATTAATTTATCTGATTATTGGTCAGAAGAGTTATTTAATGTCAGAGTAAAGCTTAATTCTTTCATTACTACTGGGATTTGATTATTATCAATATAGGCTAATAAAACCTCAGTAGATTATTTGTTTCTAGTGCAGATGAATCCCAGTTCATGTATTCACATAATCTTTACTATTGTTCTAATTTGTGTAATACAGTAATAGAATTTAAAAATTAATGTGCAAGAGCAACTGTAAAAAAAAAAAAAAAAAAAAAAAAAAGCAGTACCTTAACATTTTTCAAATTCACTTGCGGGTGTGGGAAATCGTTACCTCTAATATTAAAGTGATTAACGAGGCAGTCAGGTAAAACAGTGGTTCCATGTGTCACTGTGTGAGATTTGTGGAAGTATTGCAGATCTTGCACAGATTTCTTATCTTCTGCAGATAATTTATTATTCATGACCTTTATGCTTATTTAATGTATATAATTGTAATTTACATTATATAATAATTATTATATATGCAAAATTTAAGGAGTTGTAGACCACATCAGTGCATTTATTTTAACAATGCTCTTTAAAAATATTATGATTAATCTTCCTTTTACCCCTCCCGTCCCCAGGGTCAATTAAGTGAGAGCATGGACCATGGAGGAGTTGGCCAATATGACCTGTAAGTTGCTGCTAGAAAATGTTCTGTACCATTCATGCCAACTGCATATAACTTCTAATTTTGTTACATTGTTAAGTTAAATAGAAATTTTTGTCATTCTTGTTCAATTTTGAGTTGTTTCTAGTCGTTTCACTATTTCTTCACGTTAAAATCTGTCAATTGTATCTTGAAATAAAATAATAATAATAAAACAAATTCTGGCAAAACTTGCTGTTGTCTTTTAATCCTTGTTTCTCCTAACGTTATCTATTGTGCTTGAATAAGATTTGTAATATCCATGTAACGCAGTGTCTGCGGGACATTGTATGTTCTGCTCCTTTTGTGAGGGCCCCAGTTTTAGATTTGTGTAGCAGCCTGAGGGAGATGAGGATTCCAAAGTTCTGATTTGAAGTTCATGTGACAGTTACTTCATTTATAGATTTCCAGATTGTTTCAGTGTACCAGGTTGTGAGGAGAAAGCAGTGAGAGATAAAACAGCTCAGTTACATTTACTTTAGCAGGATCAATCTGTTAGTCTTTTGCAGAACTGCTGCGTAATTTAGAAGCATCATGAAATGAGGGTTCAGTCTTTTGTGGCACGTTCAGAGTTGTGAGGATTATTTTGTTACAGCTTTTTCTTACCGTGACTGTTGGGGCTGCTGAATGTGATCTGAAACTTTAAACACACCTTACAGCCTTGCTTTTACTTGAGGTCTTGTAGGAATATCTACCTCAGTTTGAGGCTTTGGTCTTTTAAACTTGATTCTGGTGTAATACAAAGATTTATTATATATTAAAATGAAGGAATTAAGAAGGAAATCTTAATACTATAAATCCCCCAAATTTACAGGTAATCTTTTCTGTGCAACGTACTGCTTTGCACACACCTAAATGGAATTTCTGATGCTGAGAGTTTTCCAAGTCTCCAGAGCAGTCACTGGGTTATGTCAGACACAGTGTATGCTTTGCAGAAAGTCATTTGCTTGCTTACTTTCATTTGATCGGTTTTGAGTACCAGGTAGTCTTAATATTCTTGTTTCGGTTTTATCCAGTGGCATGGAACATTGTGAAAAATTTGAGATTTCAGAAACTAGTGTAAACAGAGGTCCAGAAAAGATCCGACCAGAGTGCTTTGAGTTACTGCGCGTACTTGGCAAAGGTGGCTATGGAAAGGTAAGGAACTCTTTTCTACCCAGTAAATCCATTACGCTGATGGCTGTTAAAGTGCTCTGCTTGCTGCCTCTTCCCATCCTGTTTTTTGAAAAGTTGATTGTCTCAGGAGGTGACCTCCAGGCTGCCATGGTTGGTGTCATGGACCGAGCTCACTGGCAGCTGGTGGCAGTAGAAAATGTCCCAAACTGGTTCTGGTTCCAGTCAGTAGCTCTTCGGGCAGCGTTGCAGTTTGTAGGGGACCCGATCTCTCTTTTGCAGACCTTTGTTTTTAACTTAAGATGGTTAATGTGGTCATAATATGTGATTGCTTTTGTATTGGTGTCCTGTAGGTATTTCAAGTACGAAAAGTAACTGGAGCAAACACCGGGAAAATATTTGCCATGAAAGTTCTTAAAAAGGTAACCTGGATGTTCATGTTTCACTACTCACTTAATCTAAAAAAAAAATCTTTCCCTCCCTTTAGCTGTTACAATTACCTAATTATATAATGTACCTAAAATTACACTTTATCTGTGATATATACAGTTGTTATCTGGGTACAGGTGGAATTATAATTGGTCTTTAACTAAATTGTTCTGTCTGTGTAGCTCTTAGCAGCTAATTTAAATAGCTCAGGAGGGTCCTTCCAATCTAAATTATTGTATGATTCTATGAAATAATTAAATTTCCACAAGAAACCTTCACATTATATATATATTGTGGTGAAAATTTCTTTTTTTTTTTTGTTAAAAAATTTTTTTGTTAAAATCGCTGAGTCATATGTAGTGTTGTGATTTAATAAACTCAGAAGGGAACTAAATATAAAAGTCTGCCTCGTTTAGCATCTTCCTGTGCTCACATATCTCTGCTTTTATCTAGGCAATGATTGTAAGGAACGCAAAGGATACAGCTCATACAAAAGCAGAGCGGAACATACTGGAGGAAGTGAAGCATCCCTTCATCGTAGACTTAATTTATGCCTTTCAGACTGGTGGAAAACTCTACCTCATCCTTGAGTATCTCAGTGGTCAGTATATAAAGTTCTGTCACCTCCTTCTTGGTATCTTCCATAACGGAGAATTTGGATTTCTTACTCTACTGATAAAAGGCTACCTAACCCTTGGTGTGGTGTCTTAACAATGTAAAATAGATTAGTATTAAAAATACATAGAATAATATAAATAAACCTTCTGATTCAGTACAATAAAGATGAATGAAACATAAATAGTTATTTTTCAAGACAGTGCAGGAGAGGAGGGGTTTTAATACTGTTTCTTCCACCAGGCTTGTAATTCTTGTATGTTACACATGGATGCTGTGCAGTCCTAGAGAGTATCTGAGGTTTTAGTTCTGGCAGGTTCTTTGTGAAACAAGAAAGTGTTATTTTTATTTCACGGATAGGGAAACAGACACAGATTAGAAGCAATTTGCTCAAGTTATAATAATAGGAAAAAACAGAGGCAGAAGTGCTGTTATTTTTTTCAGCATGCTGTTGTGATTTCTATTGGCATTTCTTTAGTTGATAGAATTCTGGAAATAACAGAATAGTAAATTCTTAGTTGTTTTTTGTGAAATAATTTTCCATGGAGCAGGACAGACTAACTGTTGCTTATTTCTTACTCTACTGATAAAAGGCTACCTAACTATTGGCGTGGTGTCTTAACTATTTATGTTTCATTCATCTTTATTGTATTGAATCAGAAGGTTTATTTATGTTATTCTATGTATTTTTAATACTAATCTATTTTACATTGTTATTTTTCAAGACAGTGCAGGAGAGGAGGGGTTTTAATACTGTTTCTTCCACCAGGCTTGTAATTCTTGTATGTTACACATGGATGCTGTGCAGTCCTAGAGAGTATCTGAGGTTTTAGTTCTGGCAGGTTCTTTGCGAAACAAGAAAATGTTATTTTTATTTCACGGATAGGGAAACAGACACAGATTAGAAGCAATTTGCTCAAGTTATAATAATAGGAAAAAACAGAGGCAGAAGTGCTGTTATTTTTTTTCAGCATGCTGTTGTGATTTCTTTTGGCATTTCTTTAGTTGATAGAATTCTGGAAATAACAGATTAGTAAATTCTTAATTGTTTTTTGTGAAATAATTTTCCGTGCAGCAGGACAGAATAACTGTTGCTTAGTTTTTCTAGAAAATAGATTTTTGACTGACTGAAAATGACAGAACGTACCTCAATAGACTATAATCTCCTTTTTCTCATGACAGGAGGAGAACTATTTATGCAGTTAGAGAGGGAAGGGATATTTATGGAAGACACGGCTTGGTAAGTGAAACTTATGGTAAATTAGTAGGTTTGGGGTTTTGGGGTTTTTTTTTTTTCCAAGGTGCTTAAATGGTATATTCTGACTTGAAAAACTGTAACTACTGATTCATTTCATAGTGTAGTGAAAAGAGCAGTTAACTAGGTTTTGGGAAGATGTATGTATTCCATACTTAGCAGTTTGTGCCACTCTTACTACAGAAGTGGGTCCGTTGCTGGTTGCTGAGCGAGGCCGTATTCCATAGGGTTGTGGTAAAGGAGGTGTTTTGAAGGATATTTTAACCACTAACTGGTAAACTCAGATTCCTCCAAATATATTTGTGATTAAATAATTACTGAACAGGTGAACACAATGCTACCAGCATAATTTTGTATTTCATTGTGGAGTCTGTGTGCCTTTTGGGAGACCAACCTCAAAGGCATCACCGTTTCTCTCGTTTATTCTCTCATAGGCTTCTAATGGTGCTTTTAAGGAACCGTTGCTATGTGTGTAATAGTCTTAGTGCTTAAGATGCTTTGCATGACTGAATATGTCTAATTTTGTGGCATATATTCCCTTTCAGCTTTTACTTGGCAGAAATCTCAATGGCACTGGGGCACTTGCATCAAAAAGGAATTATCTATCGTGATCTGAAGCCAGAAAATATCATGCTTAATCATCAAGGTACAAATAAAGTGACAGTTCCGTTGCCGGTCATTTGAAAACAATTCTTCAAAGGTCACAACACTTCACTCTTACGTGAATTTCTGTAGAACAATGGCATGTCTGTTATCACCCTCGGTATAACTGAGGAATTGCCAAAGCTAATTGCCTGCCCTTAAACATGTCTCCAGGTTTGATGGGCCACAGCGAGCTCCTGAGTTTCACGTGTTTTTTGAATGGTTGACTCGCTCTTTCTGCAGCTCTGGAATTTTTCTTCTATTGGGTCACTGTAAACTACAGAGAGATCTGTGTCTTCTGTGTGGTTTCGGTGACATCTTGGTCAATGGGGATGAGTGAAGACGTTAGGTAGGAAAGGTAATTTAGGTAGGATGCCAAATCATCTGTAGCTGAAATGACTTATCTCGCTGCTGACGGTAGTAGCAATTCCTGAATGCACTGTTACATTGATTGTAGGACACTGGCAGTTGACTGCATGACATCTGGTATTTCCATGTTATCTTATTTACTTAGTCTAAGCTAGTAACTTAGTCTACTAGTTAGTAAGTTAGTACTTAGTCTACTGAATTCTTCAGGGCACTTTACAATTTATTGAAGGTTGTTCTCTGAACTTTGAAGCAACCAGTAAAATTAAATAGCCTACTCGCTTGTGTGAATGATGCTCTACAGTCTTTATGTTTAAATACATTTGTCTATAAGTTAATAAGTTTTGGTAGTTTGTCTGGTTTCTCTTCAAGTGATGATGCAAGTACAATGCAGAGATTTTATCTGTGATTACCTCGTTCTTGTTTTTAGCTGTATGGCTTTGTCAGACCACTGAAGATACCTGGAAGTAGTTCAGAGTTATTACATACCCGTGTTAAAAATTCCTATTTTTTTTAATGTTACTTATACAAATGTCAGAATTCTGGCAAGTCTTAAATTTTATATATTTAATTTCAGGTCATGTAAAATTGACTGACTTCGGATTATGTAAAGAATCTATTCACGATGGAACAGTCACACACACATTCTGTGGAACAATTGAATACATGTGAGCTGCATGATGAAATAGAAAATATTACTCTGGTTTGGGGGTAATGGCTAAATTTTGCCTTTTTTAACTGATGGTTCATCTGTTCAGTCACTTAGGGAAATTTTACTTGATAAATGTGGTTTTGTTTGAAAACTAGTAGTTGGAATTAGTATTATATTTGTTAAAATACTTCAATATTTTCAATTTTTCTGATTATAGGGCCCCTGAAATCTTGATGAGGAGTGGGCATAATCGTGCTGTGGACTGGTGGAGTTTGGGGGCATTAATGTATGACATGCTGACTGGAGCAGTAGGTGCACAGTTATAATTGCATGTATTTCTCTTTGTAGTTTTTGTAGTTACCTGTATTCTAATTCAGACGCATGTATAATTACCTACATATTTGTACATATACAGACTCCAAATAAGAAATAACTTAAATACAGCTACGCTTAATGTTGACTACAGTCATAGCTGCTCTCATTCAAAGAGTTATTTTAAAGTTCCATTTGCAGTAATTTTATCTGTTTCATAAATTACTGAAGTGTGTTCTGTGTACACGAATAGGAGACCTGAACAAGTCTTATTTTTCCTCCCATTGCAATGGTGCTTTCCAGCCTCCTTTCACTGGGGAGAACAGAAAGAAAACAATTGACAAGATTCTCAAGTGTAAACTCAACTTGCCTCCCTACCTCACACAAGAAGCCAGAGATCTGCTTAAAAAGGTACAATTTTAATGAATATCAGTACTACACCTCTATATGATACTATTATGGCTATTGAGCCCAAGCTTGTTTTATTACTAAATAATTCCATCTTGTTTTGCGTGGTACAGGAAGTTATTTTCCTTGAAAATACAATCATCTTCTAACAAATGCAGGTCTTTCTGATTGTCCTGTATTTGTTGTGCATGGTATTCCTTCAAAGGATGATTCATATCAGAACTAGTCTACTCTTAACAGCATAACTAACTTTGCTTTTTTGGATGTTATTTCTCATTAAGCTGCTAAAAAGAAATGCTGCCTCACGTCTAGGAGCTGGTCCTGGAGATGCTGGAGAAGTTCAGGTAACTTTCTCTTAATTGAAGAATTCTTAAATTACCTCAGTGAAAATAAACCAGCTTTGAGGGTACCTCCAGGAAGGAGAGAATGTCTGTCTTGAAGTGTAATGAGGAAAAAGGCAGCCATGTGTGAGAGCTGATCAAAATTTGAATGCTTTAAAGAATAACGAAAGCAGCTGCCTACCTGTTTGATCATTTGAGATTTGGAAAATAACTTTTAATCTTTAGCTCTGTCTTTTAAGAGATCTTTTCTGCTGGTTGCACAATGCTAATAGTAGAGTCAGCCGTGTAAGAGCTCTCACAGTCTGATGGAAAACCTCCCAGCCCTTGCATCTAGTGCAGCTCTTCCAAGGGCAAAGTGTTGTTAGATCCATTCAGTGACGTGTAGTTAGAAGCTGGGGGTTGGACTAGATGATCTCCAGAGGCCCCTTCCAACCCCGTGTCATTCAGTGAAGGCAGAGACCTAGTTCCTGCTGCTTCCAGCTTGACTTTACTTGTGGTGAGATTAACAATGTACTAGAGAGTCCACCTTATTTCACAGTTCTAATAGTTTGTTATTAATACAGTGTTTTTTCATTATTTTTAGACACCTAACTTTAAAAAAGTTGAAAAATGTAGAGGTATTTTGCATGTAAACTGGCTTTTTCTAATACTTTCAAGGAAAACACGATAGGGATGTGTGTTGTCTGAGCTGGAGGTAATGGTATCACTTTTCAGCTCTTCCAGCTGCAGAACATATTACACTAGACCCATATGTGAATTTGGAAAGGAAGACACCACAGAGAGGGGCTGAAAAGAACATGCTTAATTCTCAAATTTCTGTGATTTATACCCAGAAGGCGGATTATGACTCTGTGCTATTGCTAACTCTTGTAGGCTCACCCGTTCTTCAGACACATTAACTGGGATGAGCTGTTGGCACGAAAGGTGGAACCTCCTTTTAAACCCTTGTTGGTATGTACTCAGAATGCTGTGAGATATTCTTCATGTGCCTTTAGGACAGGTTTTTTAACAATGTGGGATCTAAAACTTACAAACCACTCACTCTTACAAATTGGAGTGGTGCCACTGGTCTCTGGCACTTTAAATAGTTAAATGCCTCAACTTTGGTTACTAGTTCTCAGATTCACTGGTAAATGAAAGAGAGAAACTACCTGATGCAGATTTCTTTTTTCCTGAGAACTGATGCTGTAACAGTATTTTTAAAAAATCTCTTTATTTTAAGTCTCCACACAGTATGAAATACTGTCTGTCATGAGCATGCTGTTCTGTCTCATTACTCTGTAGTCATGGTACTCATCCCTCACTAGAATAGGATCTCACTTTTTTATGTGAGAAGGTGGCAAAAACCAGCTAAGAGCTAATTTAGCCTTCTGTTAAGTCTCCTGGGGGAAGAAGGTTCTGCTTCTAATTTAGCCTTCTGTTAAGTCTCCTGGGGGGAAGAAGGTTCTGCTTCAGTTTTAATTCCTCCTGCTTTTAATCTGGAGGTTAAACAGACTCGCGAGAGCAGTTATCTCTGAATTTCTGCTTCTAGACATGGTACAGTAAGTCAGTACTTAGTCCAAACCAAGATGATAAATAGTTGCTAAGCAAAAGTAAATCAAATCACCTAATTAAGCATGGTTGCTTATTAATATTTACAAAGCATCTTGTGCGTTATAGGCAGTAATGAAATTTTTCACCTCAAACCAGTGATGTGATAAATAAGCCTCTATTATCTTATCTTACATTTTGATGGTGTGGAGTGTCTGTCTTTTTTTCTTCTCTGGATACAATTAGCTACCTCAGCAGCGGGTATTGCCACCCTGATAGTTCCCAGCTCCTAAAAATCTCACTTTAAACTGACTTGGGCATCACTAATGTTGAAAGTACTACAGCAACAGGGGCTTGGACTTTTTTTTCCCTTACCGTTTTGAATGATACTTGGAATGACACAAGACTGATATTTCCAAACAAATTATCTGAAGATAGTTTTGGGGTTTTCTGTTATTGGCAAATATTATGGAAGTTATTGTACAAACCAGATGGGTTTTGAAAACGTGCTTCCATGGTTGCATGAAGGGCTGCACAAATGGCTACACGCTGCCTTTTCTGTCACACTTACGAACGAGAGAAGGAATTTTGGGATTACGTCTGTTGCTCTTTGAGCAAATTAAACAATATTCTTCCTAGTTGCTTATTCCAGAGTTGTCCTCCATCCCTCACAGTATAAACACTTCTGTATCTGCAAAACTGGGATCAAATTATCTGGAGAGGCTTCCAAAAAGTAATGGTTGCAACTGTTCTATACTGGTTGTGACAAGGGCGAAACTTGCAAGAAACTGGCATTGTATTTCTAAAAGTTTCTGTTTGTAATTTGAGAATTTTTTTTTTAAGGCATCTTTTTAATTTGTGTTCCTTTTTGATCCATAATTTTTGCCCCTCCCCCTTGCCTTTATTTCTCAGTGTCAGTGCCCATAGTGACCTCCCACTGGCAGCGACAGGATTCCGACACCACTCCAGGGTTTTACTACAGCAGAGCTCTGCCAAAAACCTATGGAATGAACTCCATCCAGAGGCTACACTCATCACCGCTAAGCCATTTGGTTGATATCTGTAATATAAACCCTTAATCATTTTGTTTTTGCAAAGCAATCTGAAGAGGATGTGAGCCAGTTTGACTCAAAGTTTACACGTCAGACACCAGTTGATAGCCCAGATGACTCTACTCTCAGTGAAAGTGCCAACCAGGTCTTTCTGGTAAGTCGCCAGGGATGAGTGTGAAACTCTGGAGAGGTTTGTTGTGTGACTTGGAAACAGTAAGGCATTTCAGGTAAATTAATTCTATTGAATCTTAACATCTGATACTTGAAGCGAACTGTCATAATTTTAAACACATTCCACATCAGGTTTGAAACCTTTCAGGGCTTTGAAAATACAAAGTTTGATTACTGCTGACGTTTTCTTTATATAGATTAATCACCCAGCAAATGTTGCTTACTTTCTGGAATGTCAGCATTCTGATTCAGAGTTGCATTATGAGCCCTGCCCATGTGATTGCTTTCATCGTGATACAGAGAGAGCAATGTCCATTCTATAGATCAAAATTAATTACATACAGCGTGCCTGTGGGAATCTGTGATCTGAGCAGAAATACCTGGGGTGTGCAGGGTGAGGAATTCCCCAAAGTTCTGCTGTTTGCTTTAGGAAGTCAGCAGAAGTTTGTATGTCTACATTTACTCTCCTTTTTATCATTCTCATTTCCTAGTTCATGACAATCAGAACTGCACAAGTGCTTATAAATGTAAATCTTGCCTTTAAGTTACAGTGTGTTTATTCCTGTTTTGCAGGGTTTTACGTACGTGGCTCCATCTGTACTTGAAAGCGTAAAAGAGAAATTTTCTTTTGAACCAAAAATCCGATCGCCTCGCAGATTCATAGGTAGCCCTAGGACACCAGTCAGGTATCTTTTTTTTAATATTTTTTTTTCTTCCTTTTTTTTTGTAATAGACTTTTTGGCAAGTAATTGAAATAGAGCTGCACTAGAAATAAAACACGCGGCCTTTCTTCTCAGTAAGCCCATCACTTCCATGAGAAGTGCAGCATCGATCCTATTTTACAAACCACATTATTAGAGACAAATCTCTGGTGTTTGGCAGCACAAAAAGTACTAATTGGCTTTTGCTGTTCAACGCTGATACAGCCTCAGTCTGGTGACTTCGTACACCATCCCTCTCGAACTCTTTCAGAACACCCTAAGTACTTATGTGCCGCTAAAGAGTCACGTTAGTACAGAAAATTCCTTCTGCAATCACCTAGAAATAAATCCTCACTACTCAAATGAGAGAATTTTACTTTACAAGAGACTGTGGTAGAAGCCAGACATGGAAACTCCTGGAATTGAAAGGAAGAATTATGAATTATTGCACTCAATAGGCATTTGAGTGCAGGTTCCTGCAGAGTAAAGGACATACCTTGGTGCTGTGTGTATCTTCATCTCTGATTTTTATATTTCTTGTTTTAAAGCCCTGTAAAGTTTTCCCCTGGGGAATTCTGGGGAAGAGGTGCTTCTGCCAGCGCATCAAATACTCAGACACCTGTGGAATATCCAATGGAGACAAGTGGAATAGAACAAATGGATGTGACAGTCTGTGGAGAGGCCTCGGCACCGCTTCCAATCCGGCAACCAAACTCTGGGCCATATAAAAAACAAGCTTTTCCCATGATTTCCAAACGACCAGAGCACTTGCGCATGAATCTATGACAACACCATTTTTTTTTAAGCCTTTGAAGGTGGAAAACAAAGAACGGACATAAGCCCCCTTGAAGTCGAAATGTGAGGGCTTGTATGGTTTACTTTTAAAAAGTGACAGTATCAAAGAGTCAGTCCTTGCACAGAGCGACTTGGAAAGCAAAGAAAAAATGGATTTTTTTTTTTCTGTCAATCAATGGTGCATAAAAAAAAAACTTTAGAAAATGGTATTGCAGAACTCTAGGCACATCATCTAACTGATTCGCAGTGACATCTTCTCACCTTATCAAGGATTTTTCAGCTTGATAGCTTGAAACTGACAGTATTAAGGGTCAGGATGTTGCTTCGGAATCACTGGTCTAGTCGTGAATGTGTCGAGGAGGGTTAGCCCTTTCACTAGGCAAACTCTGAAATGCCTACGCGCTTGCGTCTGAGGAATAATTAGCATGCAAGCTTGGTTAAGCTGTTTCCTACAATGGGGTGGAATCAAAGATGAAAGATAAAATTAATTGGTATTTCACATTCAAAACATAATGAGTTTTTTATATATATAAAAATATATATTTTTCAAATAGATTTTTTTGATTCAGCTCATTATGGAACGTATCCCAAAATTAGAAAAGAAAAAAAAAAAAAAAAAGCAAAATAATTGGTTGCTGTGAAGAAAGCAAAGGCTCTAGTTCTGATTCTTCTCCTCATGAAACAACAAATCAATAAGCGAATCGCTCAATGACCAGCTTGGCAATGTGGGGTGGGAGAGAACTCTTTTCACTTGCTTCCCCAGCTGAAATCCCTGTTCCTGCAAAGACACCCGGATCCAATCAAACGGCAATGCTGCTATGTTCTAGGCTTAACTGGAAGCCGTGGGCTCACACACGTGTCCTGCTTATTTCAGCCATGTCCTCAGCAGACATTTCACTGGGAAAGATCACTTTTGTATACCCTAGTCCTTAGCTGGAGACAGCCAAATGCCTTCAGATTCTTACCCATAGAAAAAAGATCAGGAAAAAGTGCATCGGAATTCCAAGGTCAGTGGAAACACATAGGAAATACCACAGGAAACATATCCAAATTCTACCTAGTATAAGGAAATAAATAAACCTCTTTGTAACCAGTGGGTAAGAATTTGAGGATTTCTTTTTTTTTTTTTTAAATAAAATTTTGCTTCTGGGAATTCCCCACCATTATACATTTCTAAATTTAATTTTCTTTTTTTTTTTTTTTTTTTAAATAAAATTTTGCTTCTGGGAGTTCCCCGCCATTATACATTTCTAAATTTCTCAACATTTTTTTTCTATGCTGGGGCAATAAATTTGCTGATTGTATGAGAAAAGTGTTAAATGGCCTTTCAGTGAATGTCTTCCACAGTGGGTCAGAACTTCAGCAACTTAATTTAGGAGACATGTTCTAAGGACACTATTTATGTTTTTGAAAATTGTCACAATCTGTACAAATGACTTACAGGTACAAAGAATAAAATAAAGGTAACTTTACCTTACTTAAAAATACTTCCTGCCTTAAAGAAAGCATTTCCATGAACATAGCTGGTGAAAGGGTTAATATCTGCAGAGCTTTACACTAGTTATAGAGTGTGTATGGTGTGTGCGTGTGTGTGTAGATGATCATGCAACTGCATACAAGTCCTGTCACTTTTTGCCTGCCACACGTTGCATTATCTTTAGTCAAACTGTGCAAAGTCTACTTCTAGCGTTTCACAACAGTAGGGATTTTTGTATAGATTCCGCTTCCTCTGTGTATTCCTGAATCTTTTTGAGCCATAGGATCCAAGCCATAAAACTCTCGAAGCAAGTTGAATCCAATTAGTGCTGTTTTCTAAAATTTGCAAGTCAGAAGGATTCATCGATACCTTGTTGAATACTAATAAAGAACCAACAAAAAAAGATGGTTATGATTGAGCAAAAATTAGTGGAAGTCAGAAGGATTCATCGATACCTTGTTGATACTAACAAAGAACCAACAAAAATTGGTTACGATTGAGCAAAAATTAGTGGGGTTTTTTTTTTTTTTATTTCTTCCTGATAAGCCTTTTGTTGGAAATTTATATTTTTTTTTATGATTATAGGAAAATCAAATTACCTTACAGCACCATCCCTTGTGCTGGCAGATTGCCATGTTTCATTTGGCAATAAGGCCACCGGTGACATGTTGTGAAACTGCAATCAAAGTGCTCCTGGGTGTTTGTATTATGCCTATTTGCAAATACACAACACTTCAAGCAGTGCCTCTCTGTGCCACTTGTTAACATCGGTTTCCTAACGTGTTTACCCAGTATAAAGGAACTTAGTTTAATCAAAAAAATCTGTATTTTATTTTTTTTTTTCTTTTGAGGCAGATCTCTCTTGGTCCTAGTTACAGCTAACAGTTGTTTTTTGGTTGGCTGGATAGAATTGTCCAGTAGAATTGGTTAAAAATATGGCTGGCAAGAATGGCAAGAGTTGTTTGTCTGAGTTCACTGATTAATTACAGATACAATTCATCGGTTTTAAAAAGTAAATTTCATGTACTGTTCAATGTTTCATCCCATAGATTATAAGTTTAATTCCCTACCATAACTGTGAAACTTCTGGAGTGTGACTCAGACAGCAAGCACACACTATGCAATATGGTTTATCCTGTATTTATTTGTAAAAATATCAGACATAGATCCTCTCTATATATATAATAGTGTCAAAATTACTAGTCATGAACTAAGGGGAGTGGAGTTCTAGCTCCTGTCTGGCTATTTCAGATAAGTGCAGAATGCATTGAATATTGGAGAGCTTAACAAGTGCTTTCTTTTGTTCATTTAAAAATGTCTTAAATTTTTCATTAGAGTATAGAATCTTATTTTTTTTATTTTGTACAAGCTGCGCTTTTTTAATTATAATCACTGAAAAATTCACTATAATTTGATTTTATAGGATTTTTGTAGCATTACAAAAATATAGTAAAACTGAGGTTAATACCTGTTGTGGCTAACCATATAAAAGTATTAAATCTTAAACTTGAACAAAAGTCATATTTTTTTTTACTAGATGTTAAATAGGGGAATATTTTGTTCTGCAGGTCATGATCACAAAAGTTTTATAGGTCAGCTGTGTTACCAGCAGTTTTTCTTTTCCCATTTGATGCAGAAACTATTCTGGTATGAGATATTCAGAATTTCATCATTTTTCTCTGTGGGAGTGATGCATACATTTGATGCCATTCGTGTACTAAATTGTAATTTTGGGAATGCTGGAATAATTCCTACCAAGACTGTCTTAATTGTGCCATCTGACATTTGAATGTCATCCCGGTATTAGCTCATAATAAAAGATAAAAAGAAATGAGTCAATTGTTCTTTCGAATATCCCTTTTTTTTGGTCTTGCTGTCTAAAAGCTGAAGTGCTGGAGAACATTTGAGTCCACTCTAACTATACAGTAGATGTTTATTTTGGGTCTGTTCTCTTTTTACTACTAACTCCCAACCTGCTCTCATGGTTAATCAAAAATTGCATCAAACACCGAGGGAGACTGTTGTTGTTCTTAGGCCAGAAGCTTGGGTTTGGGTTGTTTGTATAAAATTCTGTCTTTTACAGCAGGATAGTTGCTGTTTCATTTTCTGGATGAAAATTTTCTGGATTTAGACATACAGGATATGCTGTTTCATTTTCCCAGTTTAGAGAGGAATCCCTCCTCTACCCTAAAGGATAGAGGAGGAGGAGAAGTAATTAAGAACGAGGCAAATTACTGAAATATTCTTCCTGCAGATCCTCAATGCTATGATATACTGTACACAGTTCCTATGTATGAACTTCTACAGATTGTTCTCTTCTAGATTAGCTGGGCTTTGTAGCTGCCTTCAAGAAACAAACTTGAGCTGCCTTAGTAGAAATAAAGGTAATCCCTATTCTGTTCTTCATCTTTCACAGTTTATTGGAATTAAATACATTCAACTGCTGAATGAGATGGATGTGAATAGCAATTAAATGCAAATTTAAACATATGCTAATCCAAGTGACCTATTTTTTTTATTTTTTTAAGGAAGTGGGTAGGCCCTAAGTATAACTGTGGATCTAATTCATTGTCTTTCATGACAGCTTTGAAGGGGGAGGGAGGGAGGAGGAATCCTGCTTAGAACTTCAAGGACCTGCCAGATGTTAGTTCTGATGGGACTGTCTTACCAAGGGCTGGTACCTTCCCCTGGGTATCTGGGGCTCTTAAAAAGTGGCTGTTGGTTGCCATTTGTCATCATCTTCTCTGTTCTGTCTCCCGCAGCGTCAGAGGTGTCTGTCTGTCTGTCTGTGTGTGTGTCTGTAGCAGGGCAGCCACCCCGGCCTCACTGGGCTCCTTAAGGAAGAGTCACATCTCGATAGCACGATGCTGACAAGCGGATCAGAGGGGATGTCGTTCCTGGATGTAAGTTACTCAACCTTTTTTCCCCCCTCTCTGTAACCAAGATGAGAATGTGACTTGTTTCATTTACGAAGTGTAAATCTAAACTGGTTGATCAAAATCGCTTTTTAGTGCTTTGCTTTTTAATAAAGTGTGTTTGATATTATTACTGGGTTTGGATAATTTTCACTGGATCTTAAAGAGGAAAAAAAAAATCACCAACAGGTAAAGAGATTGTTCCTTGGTCTCTGACCGACATTCACCCTTATTCTAGGAAGATGTTTTTATTTCTGTGCAGTAGATGAAGAGCATTTGGTCGTGACGGAGCACTTAGCTTTGTGCTGTCATAAATCTGTGATTCTGTTCTGTAATTCTGATGGAACAGCAAACTTCTTTCTCACTATTCCCTGCTGCAGAAGCAACAGGACTGCTATTTACTCCTCTTGGGGATAAGGCCATAAGAAAGGGCACTTTTATCCTTATTTCTCAGATCTTTTCCCTTGGTCCACAGGGCAGTGGCTCCGCTTTCAGCACAACCATCTGTATTAAGCAGGTTGTGCTCCTCAGATCTCCACCTTCCCAATTAACATTCCAGGAATGAACTGGGTGATTTAGACATAGAGTTCTAAAAAGATTTTTGAAAGTCTGTCACAGAGTAGTGGAATTCTGATGAATGGCTACCAATTACTGGTAGGCAATTAATTCAATCAATATTGAAGTGCATTTCCTTGCTCTAACATCATGTCCAAGTCTCATGAATTTTAGTTTATATTTTCTCTCAGAGGATTTTCTAATTAAAAAGTGATTAAGCTGTTGGTATTAGCACTTCAGGAAAAGCTAGTGCAGGAGAAGTTACAAATTTTGGTTTGCCCAGTATTTCAGAAAGGGTTGGTTATTACACCTATCCTTATACACTGTATTTTACTCACCCAAGCAAAGGTTTTCTTAAAGGTGCGATTTGTTGACTAAATTAAATATTGCACTCTCACTTCTCTACACAGTACTCACCCAATACCTCTACGAAGAAAAAAAGACCTTAAACCGTATCTTTAGCTAGACTGTACGTTAATGATTAATTTTGGGAAAGTCTAAATATGACTGTGGAACCAGGTGAGCTGCCAAAGTCTCTGTGGGCCCATTAAAGATTCAAAACCCAACCTTAAGTTCTCCCTATTCCTTTTTTGTTCCTGGACTTAATTCAGTTCTTGTCCATCTTTCAAGGAAGTTCTGCTGCAGCAGCAGTGGTCTCAATATCAGCACTGGCGAAATGTAAATAGCAAACAGCTCCAATCTTGTATGAACTTCAGATGCAAGCTAAGGTGTAGCTGGATCTCTCAGAGGAAACAAAGAGCAGTTTGTTCTGACCACAGCAGAGGCACAGGCACAAGCCCATGGCAGCCCAGCTCGGGCTGTGGCCGAGCTCTAACTCTTCCCTGCCACCCTCAGGTCTGCTCTAACACCATTCAGCTGCGCATTATCAAACTAAATACCTCACCTGCTGGGAAAGGCTTCCATGAGAACCAGTCTCTTCTACTCCCATATGTTTCCAATTACAGATTTAGAAGCTTTTGCCTGTTTGCTTAAAGCTGGAGTTTTTTCCCCCAATCCCTCAGATACTGTGGTGGAACAATTCTAGGGCACGTTTACTCTGAACTGCAGTAAACTTCAAACAAAAATACAATGAGCAAATACACGTCATGGTATAACAAAACCCAGTCTGAACATAAATGATACCTCTTA